TGAAAGATTAAAGCCCACTTGCAGCTGGACTGGACTTCCATTTATTCCTGTAGGATACAAAGGCCAAGGAGGAGTGAGGGAGTTGCCCAAGTGACTGAGAGCACATTCCTGCTCTGCAAGGATAATTTAGCTGAGCTTCAGTGGCTCTGCACAACTGGCAGGTGGGGAAGAACACAGAAATTTCTATTTACAACTGAGGTGAAGCTAAAGATTTTGAAATGCCAAAGAAGCAGGATCTATTCCCTCAGGTTTCGTGCCTGCCACCCCCTCACCTTCCAGAGCATCCTCTCGGGGAAGGATTTAATGCCCAGGGGAAAGAGGGCTGTGCTGAACCCACCTGAGCTGAGCTTCTGCAGCTCAAAGGGGCCCAGAAAATGCAGCACAGAAAGGAGCAAAAACTAAAGCAAAAAGGGCAGATTGCTGCTTAAATGTCACCCATGTTCACTCCTGGGTAATACAGAATATTCCATGTATTCCATGCCTCCAACTAATTGCTGAAGACATCCTGCCCCAGTGTAGATGGTACCAGGTGTCCCTGCCCATGGCAGGGGGTGGAACTGGATGATCTTTAAAGTCCCTTCCAACCCAATCCATGATATTAACTTTCCTTAGAAACCTGCCTTCTCCCATGGAAAAGGACAAGGGGGAATGGCTTTCAAAGTGACAGAGAATGTGCTTAGATGGGATATTGAGAAGGAATTTCTGGCTGGGAGGGCGGGGAGGCCCTGGCCCAGGTTGCCCAGAGAAGCTGTGGCTGCCCCTGGATCCTTGGAAGTGTCCAAGGCCAGGTTGGAGCAACCTGGGATAGTGGGAGGTGTCCGTGCCCATGGGAACTGGATGATTTTAAATTCCCTTCCATCCCAAACCATTCCATGACTCTAACTAATGAAAAACAAGCTTTTACTGAATCAGAGCCACGAGAGTCTCCAGGTTCCTGTTTCTGATTGTTCTCAGCCGCGTTTCTCTCAGTCGGAATTTTTGAGGGTTTTGTCGAGTTTTCCGTACCAAGTACCTAAAAATCCCAGACGTTCAGGTGAAATTATAAATTTAAATGCTATTTTTACCTCTTGCCTGCTGTTGCAGATGCTGCTGACAGAGTACCTGGACATGAAGAACACCCGCACGGCCTCGGAGCCCTCGGCCCAGCTGAGCTACGCCAGCTCCGGCCGGGAATTCGCCGCCTTCTTCGCCAAGAAGAAACCCCAGAGGCCTAAAAACCCCCTGTTCAAGTAAGCTGAGGATGCTAAAGCCCTGCCTAAGCTGCCTTTGGTCCCTCAAGTGCTGCACAAGGCTAGCTGCTAATCACAGTTTCACAGTAGGAGAGGTGTGGAAGTTCCGAGTTGGAGTTTTAATGCCCGGAGCTGAAGCCCGGCTAAGATCTGTCACGGATTCAGCGCTGGGTTTGGAGAGTTTAGCTCTTCCCAGGGCTCATTTCGGGGCTGGAATCCCATTACAAAGCTGCTGCAAAGCCTGCAGTGATCCATTATGCCTCCCTTTGTCCAGGGGAAATTCAGGACCTGTTAAAGAGAGCGATAAAAGGGACCGGACAAAGGGAATTAAGATAACTGTGTAATTACTAGATAGGCTAAGCAGTTAATCCTGTCACTAACTCCTTTAATTTAAAGTTCAGGGTGGAAAGAATTAAGTGGTTGGGAGGAGAGTGTAAGAGAGAGGATGAGAGAGGCTGGGTGGCCCAAGGGAAGGATCTGGGGGAGGGAATTTGGGCAGGAATAAGGAGTGAGGAGGAGTTGGTGAGCAGAGGAGATTCACACTTAGGTTCAGGGGAGCTGTGCTGAATTTTCACCTCTTCTTCTGCCCACATGTACTGGTCATTCTCTTTGGCCACGGGAGGATTTTGGGGAGCACCAAATAGTGCTGGTTTTGCAGCAGGTGCCCTGAGGGGGTGTGTTCTCATAACACCTGAGGCCCCAGTCAGAAATCCAAGTCTTCTTCACCGATTTTGCCCCTCAAAGGATGAGTTCTCCTGTAACCTGTGATTAGAAGGATTCCAGAGGTGCCTCCTGCCCCTGTCAATCCCTGGTTATTACCCCCCACCCTTTTTTTTTAACACTCTTTTTTTAACACTTTTAACTTATTTGTCTCTGCCTCTCAGGTCGGTCCTTGTGGACCGTTAGAGCCGTAAGATAAATGCTTAATAATGGATTGGTCCCTGATTCCGTGAGAATTTTCATCTTATTAATTTTGATCTTGTTTAGGGCTGACTGAAGGATGCTTTTAGGGCTGTTTCAGGTTGAGAATTCCACTTCAAATGTACCCTGACTTGCAGATCATAGAACCCCAGAATCAGCCAGGTTGGAAAAGCCCTCTGAGATCATCCAGCCCAACCCTTGATCCAACCCCGCCGTGGTTCCCAGCCCATGGCACTGATGCCACATCCAGT